AACTTATATGCAGAGTATATCATGAGAAACACTGGGCTACATAAAGCACAAGCTGGAATCAAGATTGCCGAGAGAAATATCAATAACCTCAGATATGCAGATGACACCACTCTTATGGGTGGCAGAAAGTGAAGAGGAACTAAAAAGCCTCTTGATGAAAGTGAAAGAGGAGAGTGAAAAAGTTGGCTTAAAGCTCAACATTCAGAAAACTAAGATCATGGCATCTGGTNATGCTGAAGCTGAAACTCCAATACTTTGGCTACCTCATGCGAAGAGTTGACTCATTGGAAAAGACCCTGATTCTGGGAGGGATTGGGGGCAGGCGGAGAAGGGGACAACAGAGGATGAGATGGGTGGACGACATCACTGACTCGACGTACATGTGTTTGAGTAAACTTCGGGAGTTGGTGATGGACAGGGAGGCCTGGCGTGCTGCGATTCATGGGGTCACAGTGTCGGACACGACTGAGCGACTGAACTGAACTGAACTGCACTGATACTTTATCCAGTATTTCTCTGTATTCAGATCAAGAGTAGAGTATAGGACAGTTTAGTCCAATGTGTCCCCAGAGGTCTCCTCAAATTAATTTTATTAACTACATCTGTGATGTGTGACAAGGAAGGCATAGCATAGAAAAGAGGAACCTGTGTGTCTTTGAAGTGGGGGTGGGGGGGAGTGGCAGGTACCAAATACAAAGATTTCCCTGAAGAAGTGATATATTTTAAGGTGAGATATGAAGGTTGGTAAGCAATACTTTATCATACATATGCAAAGTTTCTGAGGCAGTATAGAGCTTGGCACATTTCAGCGCAAAAGCTTTATTATTTAAAACTTACAGACTGAGAAAAGCCCATACATCTCGATTTGACTTTATCTAAATGTTGCTTAATTTTCAGTCATAAAGACTTAGTTGTCCTTTATAAGCAACAAGGCAAGTAAAATTATTACTGAGCAAATCTACCAAAGATTCATGAATTTCATATAAAGAGGGTGATGTGTGCATGGATGTGCTCAGTGGAGATTATACTGTCTTTGTTTTCTGTTTGCAGTACTTAGGGTGATTAATGAATCACTGTATCAGGCTTCAGTATCTTACTCTTTTGTGTGTGTGTGAAGTTAGGGACTATTTTTTTTGATATAAAACATATTTCTTCAGTTTTCTGAAACAATAATAATTCAGAGTATTGGCAGACAGAGAGCTGCATATGCCAAAGTGCATGAATTGCATTATCTCAGGAGCCTTACTAACGCAGGAATAGGAGAGCACCTGAGCCTTGCTCTGCCCTCTTGCTCTTATTATGGATTGTCTGTGCTAGCGGAAACTATGACTTCGTGTTAGAGACTTTTCTCCTTTTCTTATCAGTTACAGGGTGGATTCTTTTGAGGTAAGTGTTCCAGAAATACATGGGTATTTTTGGCACAATCATAGTCTGTTGCTCAAAACCTTGGTTTTCAAAATATTTAATTATTGTAAACCCCAGGCACCGATAAATGAGAAATCCGGTGACCCTGGGTGGCTCTGTCGGCCTGTGCAGCTGAGCAGCAGCCCTGCTTAATAGTCTGTTTCACTAACTGCCTCCACTGAGTGAAGGATGCTTTTGATTACTGTGCTATTGCAGCTCACTATTATTCATGTTGAAGCAAAGCATTTCAAGGTAAATTGATGTGCTTTTCATATGGGGAGGAATATTAGTTGTTATTTTTTTGCTATCAGTTACTAAGCAGTTAATAATCACGGTGAACCTCTCGAAGTCAGTGACAGAGTCCTCTTAATCTCTGAACCATCAATCACCCTTGCTCTGATAGACTCAATGTGGATGTTTTCCGTAATTGTGAAATGATACCATCATTCTCCCTCTTGTTGAAATTCAAGAAAGATCCAAACCTTTCACATATAAAACAAATGGCTATTTTTATCGTCTAAGTACACTTCTGCATATAGCCCATTCTTAACTATCTGAAATGGCAGTGATCCGTAGGTATGTAAAGATTAATCTGTAATCCTCAGATCCTCAGTAATTTCCTGAAATTAGACACACAGACCTTTACACAGATGTGATTTCTGAAAACTTTGGTTTCAGAAGCTTTGGTTTCTGAACGGTCTGATTTCAATCTTTATTGATGTTTACATACATCATTGAACACAGGGGTTCAAAGAAACAGCAATCTAATTAAAAGGAATTATAAAACTGTTATTTTAATTATTATATCTTAAGAGTGCTGGGGAATTTGGCACCATGGGTGGTGGTCCTGCCATACATAACAATTCACCTTCCAGAAAATTTTCTGTGCACAAATGAGAGTTATATACATAAATAATTACAAAGAATTATGTTTTGTTTATTAACTTTATTATTGTATTCATTTATTCAAATTCAGTTATACAGTTATTTACTGTGTCAGCCTAATATGAGTCAGACAGCAGGTGAGTTCACAACTTAAAACCTGATAAATCTTTGAAAATTCTTTGATAACTAAAATAGTATTATAATGCTTTAAATTCTCATTTTTATATTTTATTTTATTCTTATTGTTCTAAGACACTAAAATAAATTTTTTTAAAGTTAAGAATGATTGTATATTTCACTCCAAAGTTGTATGGAATTAAAATGAATCAGTCATATCAGGTAAAATTTATTTTAAAAATGAAAATGTAAGTGATTCTTTGTAGTTACAGGTATTTTTTTTTCAGTTTTTCTTTTTGTTCATTTACTTGTTTTTCACATGAGGTGTGGAATTTTTAGTGACTTAGAGCTCAAGTACGCTGCTTGCATTCACATCTCAGCCCTGCCCCTGGTTTGCTGTGTTGCCATCAGCATGTACCTTAATATGAGCCTCTCTGAGACTCAGATCCCTCAACTGTGAGGTAAGAATTATAATACCTCAAAGAGTTGTATGAGTACTAAATGGTTTGAAAGTGAAAATGAAAGTGAAGTCGCTCAGTCGTGTCCAGCTCTTTGCGACCCCATGGACAGACCGTAGCCTACCAGGATCCTCCATCCATGGGATTTTCCAGGCAAGAATACTGGAATAGGTTTCCATTTCCTTCTCCAGGAGATCTTCCCGACCCAGGGACTGAACCCGTGTCTCCCACATTATAGGCAGACGCTTTACCGTCTGAGCCACGAGGGAAGTCAATCCATGGGATTTTCCAGGCAAGAATACTGGAATAGGTTTCCATTTCCTTCTCCAGGAGATCTTCCCGACCCAGGGATTGAACCCGTGTCTCCCACATTGTAGGCAGACGCTTTACCGTCTGAGCCACGAGGGAAGTCTAAACTAAATGGTTTAGCATATATGAAATTCTGTGTGTGTGTGTGTGTGTGTGTGTGTATATATATATATATATATATGTGTGTTAGGACTTCCCTGGTGACTAATAAGAAAAGTCTTATATATACATTATGTGGCTAGTAGAAAAAAAATCTTATCCTGCTTATATAGTTAGGTTGATTCACCTCAGGTCAACTTTTTTTTGGGTGCAATCTGCAGCATTGTGGGATCTGAGTTTTCCCAGACCTGGGATCAAACTCATGCCCCCTGTATTGGAAGCTGGGAGTCTTAACCACTGAACTGCCAGGGAAGTCTCTCAGGTGAACTTCTTAATAGCTATTTAAATTTGAGAAATTCTCTGGGCCTGTTTACTCACATGAAAAATGAGGATACTATGTTTACCTCTTGGTCTTGTTCAGCATTTGAATAAATTAACACACATGAAGTGGTTTGCACAGTATTTGGCCCACAGTCAATCCTCAAAAAATGTTAGCTATGACTACTTATTTATTATTTCATTATAAACATAAAGAGGAGATAGTAATTAATATCTTACCATTTGAAATGACAGTTATGATTAATGAATATACCTGTGAAGACAAGTAAACAATTTTGTGATCCAAAAATGTGTTTTCTTTACTGATTATCCAATGCTTTACAAATTGAATAATCACATTTGGATAAAATTAACCAATGCCTTCTGTTTTATTTGCACCTTTACCTGATCTTGGTGGCAAGCTCCAAGACAGCTCTGTTCTTTTCAATTTAGGTTGCCGAGTGACCTTGTCATTTACTTCAGAGAATAATATACATAAAAGCTATTGAAACTGAGCAAAAGTCCTAAACTATTGTTTCATAAATTTCCTGAGCTATGAGATTAATTATCATTATTGTGTAGGTTCCTTGGTTCTAATGAATGGAAATAAATTTAGACAAACTCATTAAAAATGACCATTTTCATAAACTCCTCCTTTCAGAATATTTTTATATCTGCCTCATAACCACATGTGAAAAACTGTTAATCTTTTCTTTATACACACCTTTAATTAACGTGTGTGAAAGTATTTTGAAATGCATAGTTTTAAAATAATTGTTGGTTGGCAAGTAGAACAAAATAGCTTTCCACATATTACTGTACTAAATATTTAATGATTATTTGATAAGCATGCTCATTGCATATGGAGTTATACACCTTACATTTACTTCACTATTTTCACATAAGCTCTTATGCATACTAGTCTTTCTTAATCTACAAAATGGCTTAATACAAAATTGATTGATTTAGTAATTTAAAACAATAACTACCAAAGGTATTTTATCCCAATTTTTGCTTTCTTAATGTTTTCTTTCCAGGTAATTTTTAAACATATTTTCAGACAATCCCTACATGAAATTTCTCTTTCAGTGATTTCTCTTGGCTTTCAATATTCTTGAAAGGGTTAACTAACTGCAAACATATTGCTATTGTGTGTAAATTGAATTTCAGTTGGAAAAAAAAAAAGCACATTTTGAAAGTGATTCTCATCTAATCTTACTACTGCTACATATAAAATTAAACCATTTAATAATTTTGACAAAAGGTTGTAGAATTTTCAGACTAATAGGAGGAAACAATGAGAGTCACAGGAAGTTTTTTCCAGCTCACTCCTAACATTGATCAGCAGGTTGGTAAATACTGCTCTGAATATGCTGCATAGTAATTTTTGTTCTTTTTTTTTCCTGTTAGGAACCTTTCCCTGAAATTAGCAAAAGACATCGATCAGGAAGCCAGGTGTTCCCATATCAGGGGAGTGCCTAGCAGTCCATCTGCAGATTGGCCCCTGCCAAGTGTGGAAGAAAATGGAGGCATAGATTCTCTACCATTCAGACTGATGTTACAGGACTGCACAGCCGTCAAGACGTTACTATTAAAGATGAAGAGAGTTCTTCAAGAGGTAATGATCTGCTGTAAGATTAATGTTTTACTGCTGGTAGATAGTGAAGTCTATAGACCTGGTTAGTCTCTTTTCTATCAATAATTAACTGCATAACGCTGGGCAGGGGTCAGCTATTCTCTTGGAACTTAGCCTTTCTCATATGTCAAATGAAGTGTTTGTAGTTCGGTTTTATAAGGTACTCTTCAACTCAAAGATTCTAAGATTCTGCAGAGAAACTGAAAAGAGAATAAACTGATACCTAGTCTTGGGAAGGTTGGATAAAGAAAAATGGGCATCAGCTATTTTTATGTTTATATATTATTAAAAGCTCTTTAGAGACCTTTCAACAGGATTTCACTTTGATATCGAGATGTTATATGACACCATAAAACTAGTTTGGTCATTTTTTTCAAATAACAATTAATCTAGTAAAATCAGTCTGAATGTTTGACTGATTTTGCCCATTGAATATAGCTGCCCTCTTGCAGGCTATGCTCAATTAGATAATGAACTAGTTACTGAAATACTCGGGGAAGTCTTTCATCTTTATATCCAAGAATCAACCACTGTTTAGGATTCAAGTTTGTTGTGGTTTTATTTTTATAATTGCAAGTTATTTTCTTTAGAGAATTTCTATAAAGGTGTTCACAATATTAAGTCAAAGATGTGATATGAAAGGACCAAAATTTTAAATAACTTTCCTCTAGTCAGTCTGAATTCAGAACAACAGTCTGGGATATCTGACTCCCAATGTGACTTTTTATTATATCCTATTATTATTTAATTTATTTCTCATTATTTATAAAGGATATTAATAAATAGTGTGAGAACAGAGAAATGTAACTGTTTAGTATGACTGGCATTATGGCTCCTTACAATGATGACCACTTGTACGTACTTTTCTAACAATGACAATAATAATAACACTAGCAGCTACCACTAGAGGCCAGAATTGAATCAAGGAAAGAAAAAAACTTAACAAATGATTGTTACAGACTACACAGGACATCCAGTCATGTACTCATATTAGCTATTCAAGTAAAAACTGGAAGAAATCTCTGCATTCTGTACCAGCTTATACCACCAGGGTAGTCTTTGTGTCTGGAATCTATGCAGTTGTGTTTAGAAGTGGTGTGTTAAGCAGTTAAGTACAGACATTAAAGTTAAATTATATATATTTAAAATGAAAAAAAATTTATTTTTAAAATGTAATTAGCACTCAAAGCTCTACATTTCCTACTAACTTTACTATATTTTCCATTTAATTATACTTGTGAGCTTATTTACATATTTACATCTATTGAATCTTTATGTGTAAATAGTTTATAACAGTGCTGTACGTATTTCCCAATTGTAGATTTACCTAAGTCACTTTGGTAGCTTGAAATCAGCCATAGAGGAGTGTTATGCTACAGAAATTGGCATACACTACAAGGTAGGGCTTTTTAATTTGTGTGTGTGTGTGTGTGTGTGTGTGTGTGTGTGTTCAGTTGCTCGGTCGTTTCCAACTCTTTGCAAACCCATAGACTCCTCTGTCCATGGAATTTTCCAGGCAAGAATACTGTAGTGGGTTTCCATTTCCTTCTCCAAGGGATCTTTCCCACTCAGGGATCGAACTTGTGTCTCCTGCTTCTCCTGCATTGAAGGCAGATGCTTTACCTCTGTGCCACCTGGGAAGCCCTAAATTTTGGTGAGCTGCTGTTAAATATTTACCAGCACACCACTATATGTATGACGATATAGTTTCTATATTGACAACGTAAGTGTTTTTTCTGCCCTACTCCAGGCTCCCTGACCATTTGCTTGACATATAGTCTGATTTTGAACAAGGCAAACTTAATAACTGCTGTTATACTAAAAGGTATTAATCTCAAAGTCTGTAACCTTCAAGTATTCAGTTTTCTACCTCTCTCTTTGGTCTGGATTTTAATTTAAAAAAATCAATACAAGTGAAAGGGAAGTAAACAAAACAACTTGACAGGAAGAGTCAAGGGGCTTTCTTAGGGTACTTAATTTTATAATTTAAAAATATGCAGTGATATTCACTATAAAGTCAATATTCAGAATAAAATGAGATTGTTTTCTTTACTTCTGTTTTTCTTTATAAAAGAATATTTGAAAAAACTGAGGAGAATTGATTTTTAAAATTGCTATAAAATGAGCAATAATTATATCTGTTTATTAAACCTATTCAGAAATGAGGGAGTCTTACTCTTTATGGTCAGCAAGAAAAGCAATATTATTGTATGATTAGCTTTGACATCTGTTCTAGTAAAAAGATATTCATAATAGATGTTTTTAAAGAAAACTGAAATATTCTCTAAGCCAGGAATTTTTAAATGGTAATTTACATTTCATTGAATTTAAGTTTAATTCCAACTAATCATTTTAGATTAATAATACCTTTTTACCACAGACAAGTAGTTTATTTCTATTGACCTTATTTGTATGATGCTTACTCATCCATGTATATAGATAATTTTTAATTGAAGAAGATCCTAATTATTTTAAGATAAAAAAGTCATTAGTGAGTTTAGTATATTATACTAGAAACCTCTCCTATTTGTTATTTTTCTTAATGCTGCTCTGTTGACATCTTAAATTTTAATTCTGAGATAGGTCAAATGTGCATCATCTGACATTTGACTCACACTACCTATTTAACTCCCTCCTTTGGAAATCATTTGCTATTACAACCCCGAACATCAGTGCCTTCATTTAAAATGGAATAAAAGAAAAAAAGACTCACTTTGGACCCTAAGAAATTCTATTTTTTTTTAAGTATTAATGATTTTTTAAAAAGTTTCTCTCTTATAACAAGGAAGAACCATATAATTTTTTTCTTCCTTTTTTGGTTATATTTTTTCACATAATCCCATTACTTGTAATAAAAGAAAATATTTAATACAGTTATCTACAGAAATAGTTTTTGTTCTGATGTTTCCTTTCAGTTTGGGCTTCCCTCTTGGCTAAGACAATAAAGAATCCACCTGCAGTGTGGGAGACCTGGGTTGGATCCTGGCTCTGGAAGATTCCCTGGAGAAGGGCATGGCAAAGGATTCCAGTATTGTTGCCTGGATAATTCCATTGACAGAGGAGCTTGGTGGTCTACAGTCCATGGGATCACAAAGAGTCGAACGCAACTGAGCGACTGACACTTTCATTTTCACACTTTCCGATTACTCTGTTCTATTTTTGTTATTCTCTTATTATAAAATATATTTGTACTGTTTGCTTACTGGCCAAGAAAACTAATTGGAAGGGATTTTAGGTGCAATGTGTAGTTTCTAGTAAGGTAACAGTTGGTGAGAATGTTTATGGGGCTTCCCTGGCTGTTTAGTGGTGAAGATGCTGCACTTTCACTGCAGATTCTGCAGGATCAAAACCTGTCAGAGAACTAAGATCCAATATTCCACGCAGCCAAAAATAAGTAAATAAACAAAGCAAGAGTGATTATCCAAAAAATAAAAAAAAAGAAGAATGATTATCCAAGGATGTTTGCAATGCCCCTCCACCCAACACCATGCGCTTTTTAATTTAACAAATAAGTATTGGGAATGTGCTTAGCAAATTTCCTGAATCATATAGGGCATTTCTTTAAAGTTAGATGAGTGTTAAACAAATTTAAAAAAAAATGATCAGACAAATCTAACAGTAAGATTAAGTTGGTGAAAATCAGGGAAGTATTTGTTTGAAAATCAGTGTAATTTACAAGCTTGTTTGGTTGACATGAACATTTGGGTTTGCCAATGAAGAGCTCTTTCCTATTATCCCTTTTTTTTCTCAATTATCTAGTAAATCGAACTAATTTATTATCTTTTAGAGATAACAATGGGAAACTTTCAAGGATAATTTTAAGCATGGACTTCTTATATTTTGTGTGTTTTAATATGATATATAAATATGTAACATAATTTGCAGTGTTTTGAATTTCACCATAAATCATTGTTCAGTGGGAAATTTTTAAAGACTTTTTTGTTTTAGCACATTTTGTTGAAATGATTTCAAAGGTTATAACAGCAATTTTGTAAACTGACATTTTTCTATCAGAAAATCCCACAGCAAATGAAAAGCCTATAGAATAGGAACTGTGACAATGGATAATTAAAAAGGAGAAAGTCACTGTGGAGAATCATAGACTAAGAAAATTCACTGAAAGCAAACAATTACCCATGTAAATCTAGGTGACAACCTAATAATTAGACTGCTTTTTATCTTTTGAAAATAAAATTACAAGTTTCTGCTACCTACTTTATTTTTATTTATTTTACTTAAACAAAAATTTGTTTAAGATGTAAACTGGAAAAAATCTAGACCATGAAAACTACAAATGCAAGAAAACTAGAGTGACAGTACCCATGTCAGGCAGATATAAAGATATCAGTAGAATCAGTGCTATATTTCATGATAAGAATTCATTTCATCAGGAAAACGTGACAGTCATACCCGTGGATGTTCTATTTATGTAACTTGTAAATATGTGTTGCAAAATCTGACAAAACTAAATGAAGAACTAGGTAAGTTCACAATCATAGTTGAAGATTACAGCTCTCTTTTCTCAAAAATTGATAAAACAACCAAAAATCAGAGTTTCAGAAGATTGAACATTTTTAATCTTTTAATAATAGTTAACTGAATTGTGTATATCAGAATTATACCAGTTTTTCAGTGTATGTGGAACACCATCAAGATAGTATATGCTGAATCAGAAATATCTCAATAAATTTCAGAGGTAGACATCTATCTATGCAATATAATTTGGAGAACAGTGGAATTAAAGTAAGAATTACATTAAAGTAAGAATTAAATTAACTAGAAAAACAGCAAATATTTGGATATCAAACAGCAAACTTTTGTATACCCCATAGATCAATTAAAGATCAGGAAGATTTTAAAATGTTACAAATGAGATGATAATAATAATACGATAAATCAAAATTTGTGGGACATAGTTGAAATATGCTTGGAGAGAAATTTAGAACTTTAAAAATTTCTTTTAAAGCATTAAAGTGCCATAA